GATAGCTACCTGTAAAAACAAATGAACTCTGACCTCTGTCTAATGCCAGGCACAAAAGTCAGATCAAAGTGGATTAAAAACCTCATTTTTGACCTAAATACATAAGGTACATGAAGGAAAATGTAGGCAGAACCCTCCATGACATTGAAGCTAAAAGCATCTTTATGGATGACCAAGCAAGTGGAAATAAACAAATGGGACTACATCAAACTAAGAAGCTTCTGCACCTCAAAATAAACAGTGACCAAAATACAAAGAGAGCCCACAGAATGGGAAAGAATATTTACCCAATACCCATCTGATAAGGGATTAATGCCCAAGATATACAAGACACTAGTAGAATTGTGCAAGGAAAAAACCTCCAACCCCATCAAAAAATGGGGAGAAGAAATGAACAGAAGCTTCCTCAAAAAATAAAAATGGCCAAAAGGCACATGAAAAAATGCTCTACATCACTAATCATCAGGCAGATGCAAATCAAAACAACAATGAGATATCATCTCACACAACACAGAGACTGGCACACATTCAAAAGAACAAAAGCAACCAGTGCTAGTGTGGATGTGGGGGAAAAAGGGATGCTCTTTCACTGTTGGTGGGAATGCCGACTGGTCCAGTCTTTATGGAAAACAATATGGACATTCCTTCAAAAACTAGAAATTGAGTTTTCGTATGACCCCGCAATACTGCTTCTGGGAATATATCTCAAGGGTGCAAAAAAGCACAGTAGAAATGACATCTGCACCTATGTGTTCATTGCAGCACTGTTCACAATAGCCAGAATCTGGAAACAATACGAGTGCTAGAGAACAGAAGACTGATTAAAGAAACTTTGGTACATCTACAAAATGGAATATTATGCAGCTGTTAGGAGAGATGAAGTCATGAAATTTGATTATAAGTGGATAAACATGGAGAGTATCATGCTAAGTGAAATGAATCAGAAAGAGAGGGACAGACATAGAACTGCACTCATTTGTGGAATATAAAATAACAATATGAGATTGACACCCAAGGACAATAGAGACAAGCGCCAGAAATATTGCCCCAAAGTTGGAAGCCTGTGTCATGAGCTGGGGGAGAAGGCAGTTGGAGTAGAGAAGGGATCACTAAGACAATAATGATTGGAAGAATCGTTTGGGATGGGAAATGTGTGCTGAAAGTAGATAAAGGACCAAACATGATAACCTCTCAGTATCTGTATTGCAAACCATGATGTTCAAAAGTGGAGAGAGTATGGGTGAAATTGTCTGCCATGGAGGCAAGGGGAGGACAAGAAAGAAGGGGGGTATACTGGGGACATTGGTGGTGGGGAATATGCACTGGTCAGAGAGATGGGTGTTTGATCATTGTGTGATTGTAACTCAAACATGAAAGCTTGTAACTCTATCTTACAGTAAATAAGTAAAAAAAAAATTATAAAAAAGTAGTCATTTAATGCCTATGTTCCAGGATACTGAATATTAGGGGGAAAATAGATTCAGGCCCTTGTGAAACAAATATTCTAATTATATTGTGGAAAAATAGAATATTGGATGACAATAAGCAATGTTAAGGTCCAGGAAGGATGTAGAAAAAGAGTGGACAGGAAAGGCAACCATTTTTGTTTGATTTTTTAAAGCACACTCAGTGATGCCCAGGGTCTACTACCAGCTTGGTGCTCAGGGGACTATTTGGTGCTGGGGATTGAACCCGGGCCTCCTGCATGCAAAGCATGTGTTCAGATGTCTCTCTGTCCCTGAAAGTTTACAATTTTTAATTAATTCATTTAATATTTTTGGCAATGTTTTTTATTATCGTTACACACACAAGTCATTGTGGTTTTAGCATAGTTAGCACGGTTCAGTGGCAATTCCATTAGCCCTTGTCCTTTCCAGCTTGGCAGTATGAGCCACTGACTTTGGACCCAGGATTTGCCTCCTCAGAAAGGGAAGTTCTCACTGTATGTGTCACTGTAATTAGTTCTGATAGCCTCCTCCACTGTCTTCCGAGTTACCTTCGTGAAAGCAACCCTGGTGCAAATCTTTCCGTGGTCAAGATGCCCCAGACATGTGAGCCAGAGGATAGTACAGCATGTAGGGCACTTGCCTTGCATGCAGCTGACTAGATTTCAATCCCTGGCACTCCATATGGTCTCCGGAACCCCACTAGAAGTGATTCCTAAGTATGGGACTAGGAATAAGCACTGAGCACCACCAGGTGTGGTTCCTAAACAAAAAAAAAATCAGATGCATCAGCCTGAATTTCCTCTTGAAGATGCTTTAGGGAGCCCCCATCTTCCTCAAAGGGCAGGTAGGAAGGCAGCCAGCCCAATGAGGTCCACATATTGGTCAACCCCTACCAGTAGAGACCTCTTATTTTCTATCAGGAAGGTGATAGGTGACTGCTTGCTGGGACATCACCACTGCCGGTTGTTTTCTTCTCAGCCTCGCCTAACAGCCCCTGATTCCTCTCTTGCATTGTCTCTGATCTATACTTGGGGGTGAGTTTGAGTAGGTGAGTAGCTGTTTGGTAGTCCAGGACCCAGGGAGAACTGTCTGAAGAGGCACCTCTTGCAGAACATGCCCCTTTGCCTCTGCAGCTCAACCTAGTATGGCCATTGGACAAAGCAGGTGAGGTGTTTTGGGCTGCATGTCCTGTCCAATTGCAGCCATGCTTGGGCCTCTTCTCAAGGAAGGAGTTCACCATCTTCTTTCAAGTGCTTAATAACTAAATGAGGTTCATGTCACAAAACTGACACAGAGCATTCCTCTCTCACACTAAAGCGAGTCCTATCATATAGCCTTGCAGAAGAAGAGAATAATAGGCAAAAGTTACAGCGAGTTTAAAGGTCCTGAGGTGTACATAGCTTGATGTGAGTTAAGTAATGGCACAGCTCTTCTCTTTCCATAGTCTCACTATTGCTCATTCTTTCCTGACTGAATGGCAATTATCGTATACCACCTTAACTGGAGCTAACTTTCCAAAGATCTTCATTGATCCTGAGCTATAGACGTTTGCTCTATGTCATAGAATCTGTGGAATAAGGTTCAAACTTCCTGGCCGTATGCTGTGAAGCTGTGTGAGAGTCACAACTAAGCCCAGGAGACAAAGCATATATGCTCTGTTTTGGAGTAGAGGAGGTTTAGGGATGTCACTTGGGATGTGAAGGCAAAAGCACCACTAGTTTAGGGAAATGGTTACATAAGTCTCTTGGAAACCTGCTGAACCAGGAGTAAAGGTCTGCTGGAGAAAGTCTGGGAAATGGGGCCCAAGAAAATGGCCTATTCTTAACTGAAACCCAAGTATTTCAACATTACATGAGCTGTGATTCATACACAGCACATACAAGTGGGATTTCAGCCTTGAGTAAACCATAGGCATTTGGAAATCTGTGATGGACAAGAGCATTCACTGCAGTGCCTTCTCCAGTGAGCATGCCCACCAGAAGGAGGCAGGTTCAGCATCACCAGCCCCCATGCTTCTCTGCCTCACCCTTCTTTCTCACCACTACGCCACAGTCTCAGCGCCCAGGAGGTGCTGTGCAATACCACATTGGCATTTTCCTCACGTTTCCCCTATGTACTTGAAGGACTCTCACCCTCCTTTCCATGTGGTTGAGTCTTCCACGCTTAAGGCACAGCTCACCCTTCTGTACACAGACTTCTCTCTGCCGGCGCCAAGACCAGCAGCGGTGCTTGCTCCCATGGCTGGGAATGCACATTATCCACGCTCACTTGGCAATTACCAAGTGCAGGAGGCAGTAGCTTCGCTTTTCTGTATGTTTATCGACTCCTGGATCAAATTTTTCATTCCTGAATGTAGATGTCCTGTGTCGTTTTTCCTTTACCTCTTATGTGTCTACAGTACCCCCCCTCCCCCCACACACAGACACACACATGGGTGCCAAGTGAGGGGCACAAGTGAGGGGCTGAGAGTATGATGGAAACTGGATGGAAACCTCTAGCAATTCTCCTCCCCCCCTCTCCCCCCCTCCCTACATATACTGTTTTGGCTTTGAAGCCACGCCCAGCAGTGCTTAGGGCTTACTCTTGGCTCTGTGCTCAGGGATCACTCCTGGAAGTGCTGAAGGGACCGTCTATGGGGATTGAACCTGGTTTGTGTGCATGCAAAGCAAGTGCCTTATTCAGTGTACTATCTCTCTCTGGTCACTCCTCTCTTGCAATTCTTATTTGTCCAATTTGTCTGAACAAGAGTAAGTCTATGTACTCTTAGGCACAGACTGGGACGCCATCGTTGGACTGGGGACTTAAAGCTCTAAAAGGCCCTCGGAGAGTGTGAAGATTCACAGCCACCTGGAGTTGAAGGCTGGGTGCAGTGGTTTTATTCCCGTACTCCACTATTCCCTGGGCCTGGAATGGTGTAAACAATGATTCACAGCTCGAAGGCCTTTACAGTTCAGCAAGCACATTCATCCGAAGGTCAGGTTCCAACACGCTCACCGACGTTTGCCTCCAGATCCCCAGACTTGCACCTATTTTGCTCAGCACCTCCCATCACAGTTTTCCTCCCTCACCCTTTCACGGTGGTGTGCCAGAGGGGACAGCGTGGGGACGTGTCTGTCCAAAGGGTGTTTGACTTAGGGCGTTAGAAAAGCCTATTTTTCAAAGCCGTTTCGAGGGATTAAGACTGTGGTCTGGGACGGACTTCGGCAAAAAATAAACCCAGATAGGGGTCGAGGGGTTGGAGGGTGGGTTAAGGGTGGGTGGGTAGAGGAGCAGTGGGTGTTCCAGACTTTCCTGACTGTTAGGAAAAGGGAGTGAGTGGGGACGAAGGGGAATGGGAGCGGGCGGGTGGTCTCAGAGTGGGCTGGGTGACCGGTTCCCGGAAGCCCGCACCTGTAGAGACGCGGCTGCCCGGGGTGTCCCGCCCGGTGCCCTCGGGTCCCGGAGGGGGTGCGAGGCGGGCAGGCGCGGCGGCGGGGCGGGGCCAGCGCACCTGGGCGGGCAGGGGGCGGTGCGCGGGGCCGAGCCTGGCGGGGGCCGCGGCGCGCGCCAATGGGCAGCGGCTGGCAGCGCGCCCCGCGCCCGAGCCGCAGTCGCGCCCTGTCGCTGCCTGGCGAAGGCGCCGGAGAGCAGCCCGGGCGCCGCTGCGCCTGCAGGGCATGAGGATGGCCGTGGGCTCCGTGAAGATGCAGCCGCCCTGCGAGAGCCCGGCCCTGCTGGCGGCGGCGGGCAGCCCCAGCGCCCGCGACTCGGAGCGCGAGCAACCGGCGGCCCCGCCGCGCCCGCGGCTCCGGGACCTGCCGGCGCTGCTGCGGAGCGGGCTGACGCTGCGGAGGAAGCGGAGCGCCGCGGGGGCCCGGGTGAGCGCACGTGGACCCGCGCCCACCCTGCGGGCGGTGGGGCGGGGGCATCGGGAAGTTGGGGAGGGGGGGGGCCGGGGCCGGAATGCGCAGAGGAGGAGCCAGGGTCGGGGGCTGCCCCCTCTGGTCAGCGACGCTTCCTCCTCTCGCCCCAGATGAACCTGGTGGTTTAACTCGAGGGTACCCGGGCTCGGGACCGTGGGCATCGCCGGACGAAGCGCCGTTTGCCACTGTCCAGAGGGGCAGCGGGCAGGTGTGGGGGCCAGGTGTTGGCAAACCTCGGCACGTCTGACATCCCCCACTCCATCCCCCCCACCACCATCGTCCTCCAGGCGGGACCTCCCTGTTTGCAGGAAGGAGGCGGGCAGCGTGCGCTCCTGTTGGGGATGCGAGCTGGCAGCTCCGGGCACCATGCGGGCCCCGGCTGCTGCTGCCCGCGGGAGATCCTGGAGTTGGAAGTTGTCCGGCGAGCTCCTGGCTCCCGTGTATTCGGTGACTCCTTGAGCAGGAGGGTGCCCGTCCCCCAAAGCTTAAATACTGACTTCCCGATGGTGCTTTCAGATGGAGTTTCCCAGGGCAGGAGGGGACCTCGTGTGGTTCCAGGTGCGCAGAATGGCTGGAGCTGGTCGGGCATGAGCCGTGTGTCGGGAGAATCAGGCCAGCCCGTGGGCTCGTGGGCTCGTGGGACCATTTTACGGCCCTCAGCCCCACCCCCGGAGCCGCCTTCCTCGGGATCCCCCGCCCTGCATCGTTCTGGGAAGCCTTCGGTGGGCTTTGCTCAGTTTTGAAAAATTAATCTTTCAGTAGGCGTTACCGAGGTGGTGAGACCCTGTCGAGTGGCGAGGCGGTAGCTTGAGGAGTGAGGTCTTGTCAGCCTTTAGAATGAGACGGGGAGGGGTGCTCTTGCAAAGAGAGGAAGCAACGTTTATGAAAACGTGAGATTTGGGGTGAAACACTTGATTTAGTGTGTGGGGGGGTCTCCTGAGTTGGTGAAGGGCGTCTCCTCTTTTCTGGATGCTCTTCCTTGGCTAGGCATTCCCCTGCCCTGCAGGATGGTTCTCCAGATCTCCCTCCCCATCGTCTTCTGCCGATTAGCTGGACCAGGATTAGCTGGATTAGGACTTTTTTTTAAGGCGACGACCAGGCCTGTTTAGAATTTGCCCACCAGTAACCTACAGGGCTGCCTGCAGGGAACTCGAGATCCTGTGTCCCAAAGATGTGAGTGTTCAGTGAGTGCTAGAGCCTGTGTTAGAGACTTTGCAGGAATCTGGGGAAAAGTAGGTCAAGTTGTGTTCCTATTATCCTTGACAGTTACTTTTTCATGGCGCAGAATACTGAAGACATGAGGGCAGCCAGGCAATCTGTGAGGAGAATGGCTGAGGGTTTCTGTATAAATAGATCTGTGGTGTTCATCTGCATACAGGCTTGTGTGACCGGCTGCCTGGGATGATAGTGTGTGTCTTGCCAATAAACATATTTACACATATCTCTTCAAATCTTCTAAATGGTATTACTTTGAAGAACATGCACTTTCTTTTCTTGGGGGGATAAAGGGAAACACCTGGTGGTGCTCAGGGGTTACTCCTGGCTCTGCATTCAGGGATCATTCCTGGCCGTGCTGGGGGATCCATATGGGATGCCAGGGATCGAACCAAAGTCAGCCTCATGCAAGGCAAGTACCCTACATGCTCTGAGACCTCTTTAACCCAGACGTGCACTTTCTTAACAACTTCTTTGCTCCTAAGACTGTATCACATCTCTCTGAAACATTCCAAACATATTGCAGGAGTGCATGACCACACTTTTCCCTTGAGGGTCAATTGTCAAAGTTTCTAATGTTGGAGACCCATAATTTTCAGCTTGTTTTCCCTTTTGACTCTGGAATCTTCTTCCTTGAAGGGATATGAAGAAGTCTGAAAGAAACTGGGGGGCTGGAGCGAGAGTGCAGCAGGTAGGGTGTTCACCTTGCATCAGCTGACCCTGGTTTGATTCCCACCATTCCATATGGTCCCCTACACACTGCCAGGATTAATTCCTGAGTGCAGAGCCAGGAGTAAACCGTGCGCATCACCGGGTATGACTCAAAAAGCAGGCAAGCAAGAAAGAAAGAGGTGAAAATGTATCTATATTTGTCTTTTTCAGCTGCCTGAACAAAATATTATAGACTGGTGTCTTAAACCAGTATTTCTGAACCTTTTCCCCACCATGGCCCCCTTCTAACTTTGGTTCCTTCCCATGACTCACCTCTGTGTTGCCATATGCACCCCCCGATACACACATTTATGTGATAATTTTACTTATGTCCACCCTGGTTCTTACAAGGGGCAGAAGGTCCCTGGTTGAGAAACGCCAGCTGAAACAGCAGAAAGGAACGTTCTTACAGTTCTGAAGACTGGGGGACCAGATGCAGGTGCCAGCTGAAGGGCTCTGTGGGAAGGACTCTTCCTTCCGACTTTCAGACAGCTGCTTTCTCTGTGTTCTTACAAAGCCACTCTTCTACACACATGGATGGAGATAGCACTCCCTTTTCTACTACATCACTTCATCATGTCCCCGCTCATGACTTAGTCTTCCCTGCACTTTGCCTCACTCCAAATCCTATTATGCTGGGGGTTAGGGCGGCTTACACATAGGTTCTAAAGAAAGTGGTGGGAGATAAATATTCTGTCTATGTCAGAATTGAAAGGAATAGAAAAATAGTTAAAAATATACCCCAGACCAGTTGATGAATTGAGAGCACTTAGAATCTTCTGGTTGACCACTGGGTTAGGGTAGTGGTTCAGATACAAGCCAAGTATGACTTAAAACATTCTGTGGACCTTTAGTTTTGTATTTTCCAGTAAAGTAACTCCAGATTACAGCTGAATGATAGAAGGGAAAGTTTACACAAATTCATTATCTCTTGGATTTTGGGGAAGAGCAAAACTAAACAGTAAAGCTCTTTGCATTACACAAGTAGGTAAGAAAGTAAGAAAGCGTGCAACTTCTCCATTAACCAAGATCTGATTCAGGAATACTTATGGCTCTTGTCCATGCTCCCTCGGGTGTCCAGAAATCTGGAGAATCTGACATTGGATGTCATCAAAGAAGCTCTTTGGTAACTGGTGTTGTTCAACTTAGGTGCCTTGCAGGTTCTCTCTTTCTGGGAAAAATTAAGCTGAACTTTTGTTGGTAATAGAACTCAGAGACCTTGGTTTAGTTGCTTCTAATATTGGTTTCAAAGTCAGACTAAGACTCAGTTAAGATAGGAGTGGCAAAATTTGCTTTGTGAGTCCAGTTTTCTTCCTAAAAATCATTGAAACAATAAAGGAGAAATTATAATTCTTTCATTGTTTAAAAGGATCTGCCTTGCAGAGATTATGAGTATAGTAAGCACCTCTCAACACTTGTTAACATATTGCCTGTCTTCACATTTTTTCCCATCTCTACTTTCTTTGTGGGGATGAGATTTTAAACCATAAACCCTAAATGTGTCATATCATTTATAAATGTTGCATTTTATATCTTTAATAGGGACTTTCTTCTTTAGAAAAATAACTTCTGTGCCTTTTTCACACCTAATTTTGTACTATAATTCCCATGCTTAAATTTTCTGAAGCATGTCTTTTACTTGAATTGTTGGAACCAGAAACTAAACAGAGTTGACACATTGCAATTCTAGGACTTCTAAGTCCTAGAATCTTACTGTAAAAGACTTATTTTATCACAGGCCCCCCTATTCCTGTTCATTTTTCATGCAGTTGATTTGATGGAGAGCCAGTGTCATCTGTTCAGTGAATGTCCCACTTACAAGGCTGATTTCTTAATCTGGTGCCATTTTACTTTATCTTCTCTGCCCTCCATGATTCTATAATCCAGTAGTTGGATGTAGAGGCTTGATTAGATTCAGAATCAAAGGCAAGCAGCTCTGTAGTGGCATGTAAAATCTTTTTCAAAACATCCCAAGATACATGATGCCTGGATGACTCTCATTTTAAAATATTAAGATTAAGTGGGTTCAGGTTGAATCAAGTTACATTTCAGCCATTATATCCTTGATCCACTTTCAGGTTTGCAAAAGAGCAATGATCTTCATCTAGCCTTTCTCTTGCATTTATTAAATGGAATTCTGTAGAGCAGGGAATTAAACCTAGGGCCTCATCCACGAAAGGCAAGTAAGTGTTCTACTACTGAGCTGCATTCCTGGCTCTTACCTGGACTTCTGTCTCTAAGCAACTTACCTTTATGAACTATTTGGGTTTCCTGAGATTCACATTGTGTAATAAAGACCAAGGAAAAGCTTGTTTCTTTTCACCATTTGTTGTTGTTGTTGTTGTTGTTATTGCTTCCCTAACAATCTCCCATGGTAATCTATGGGATTTTCCTAACTTCTGTGAGAAAAAATTATGGATGAGAATGCCTTTGTTTCAGTTGATCAGTTCATTGCAGTCAATATTCTTGTTGATGCTCAGCTTGTCCTTAGATCATATATACTCTTTACAAGTCCCCAAGAGTACTTGATACTTTTCTTGCTTTTTTATTCAAGATCTGTCACTGTCCTCCTGTTGTTCATCGATTTGCTCGAGCGGGCCCAGTAACATCTCAATTGTGACACTTGTTACTGTGTTTGGCTTATCGAATACATCACGGGTAGCTTGCCAGGCTTTGCCATGTGGGCATAATACTCTCGGTAGCTTGCCGGGCTCTTCAAGAGGGGAGGAGGAATCAAACTCGGGTTGGCCATATTGCCTGTGTGCAAGGCAAACACCCTACCCGCTGTGCTATCGCTCCTGCCCTGATTCAAAATATTTTAGTTTATCTTGTCTATTCCCTGTTCCAGACTGCAAATAAGCAACTCCCCCCCCCCCAAAAGAATGTTTTTTTTTTAGCCCCAAACTATTGGTACTCTACCCTCCACCCCTTCCATGTCTGTTTGTCTTTGTGGTCATGTTATTTTCTGCCTTGGTCTTAACTTCCATCCCGTTTCTGTTATTTTGAAAATTCTTCTTATCAGGCTTGTT